TTATAATATTAATTTAAAGTTCAGAAATAATTTGCTCACTGTTTCTTTTCACAAATGTTTTTCTTACTTGTACGTGTTACACGGACACTTCAAAGTTTGTAGTGTCACTATATGTTCATGTTTGTGAGTCTCCACATTTCTTAACTATTGCTTAGGGAAGACTCTAATGTTCGATACACACACTCCTAATTTATGCTTAAATTTGTTTGCGAACAAAGGTTTAAGTGGCAAAAAGTGGGAGAAACGTGACTAGTTTTACTTGAGATTAAACAAAACAGAGAAGTTAATTTATACTGCTTGTTCTACCTTCTATCACCTGCCAGTCTTCCGAGTTATGAGCAATGAAGTTTGTGTTGAACATACTGTTGGCACCAGTAGGTAAAATATAGTCTGAGTCGTGCGTAAGGGCATTATTCTTAAAAACTATTCCATCACACCGAGTTGATCACACGGCAGTTCCCCAAGATTAAACAGGCTCTTCCTAATAAAAGCAGGGACACAAAACAACAGAAATTCACAAAATATACTCAAGCAACTCAATAATGAATGATAGAAGAAGAGAGAAAGTTTGAGAGTATCAAAGCTCTCTTTGAACCTATGGTAAACACTGCCTTTTATAGGCAGATCTCATAATGCTAGGCAATAAAACTACCTTAATAACAATTAAAAAACGGTTACAAAAAATAAAAAGATTAAATAAATATATTTAAGTAAGGGGTTATGGTAATTAATAATTTATTTCATAGTAACTCCTTTTGAAATATTAAAGATATTCTATATATCCAACAACCCCACATATTTTAAAAGGAAGGAAAATTTTCTTGAAAACTATTTTATATAAATAATTTGTAACTCCACATAATACTTTTCAAAACTTTAGAAAAAAAATGCCCAGTCTATTTGATACCACATTTAATTCACACGTGAGTAATTGCATTTGCATGAGCTCACTTCTCCTCTAAGCCCATTTACTTGCCCAAGCTCATACCTTAATATACATGTATTAAGGCCTCCATTCATTTGAGTAATATGAGACTTTCCTTTTTGACACAATTGCAACAATCCCTTATATGTGTCAAATAGACCACTGTCATCTGAGTTATTCACACGGAAGATAATCATTTTGAATTTGGTGTCTTTTGACTTGAACCAAACTAAAACCAATAAAACTTAGCACACAGAAAAGTCGGTATAACTTTGTTATTGAACCAACAGATCTTGGTCATATAATAAAGGTCTTATTAGTCAGACTATACCCCCATAATTTCTATTGTTAAGGCGGTTTTGCACATTATCGGCCATGCGTGCACCATGATCTCATAGGAGCAACCCCACTCCACATTTGTATGGGTGTTTTCATCAAGTGTATTTGCAATGAATATACCATCCATAAGGACTGTGAAAAATACTAGGAGCTTTTGCTTAGCCTTCGATCAATGCATTCTAGCACTTTCTCAAGCTATAGAAAGGAACAAAAATTTAGTGCTAATAAAACTAATAAGTGACTTGTTCTTACCCATTAAACTTTCTTCATGGGATCTCCAATCACAAAGGTTGGGTTCCCATCACCGTTAGCTTCAAATAGGTTTAAGTCCCATTCCCTTCGACATTTAAATAATTAAAATTCTTCCCCAGAGGCTAATTAATAGATCCGTCAAATTTACATTTGATCTTACATAATCAATTGAGATAACTTTCTCTTTTAGCATGCTTAATTATATCTCAAACGATATCTACCTATGCCATTGTTTTTTTTGCAATGACTATCACCATTTGGCTATTGTTCTATTTGCAATGACTATCACCATTTGGCAACTACACAAATCATCGACATAATATGTATCAGTTTTACTCTCAATGCAATATTATTCATTAAAAAGTTTCTCAACTACTCAGCCTCATTTCTAGCCAACTTTAGGGTAATATACTCTGGCTCACATAATATTTTATTTGGCTATAAATGAATTTTTCCTCATGAATGTAAAAGTGAATCTACATTATTATATTATTTTAATACAATCGAAATTCATTTTATGTGATACCAACATTTATGGTATCTCTTAGACACTCATTTGTTTCATCCTCTCATGAGACTATTTAATATACTCAATCTCTACGTAACATAACTATATCATGGATGCTCATTGACACTGAGTGTCGAATTTACATCAAAATGATTGCTATGGAATTTTTTCACAACTTAACCTCTAAATTTAAAGTAATAAACTTTATGAGCTTGTTATTATATTTATTTCCATCACCACTAAAGTTGGATAATCACTAGTGGATCTTCTCACATAAATATATAATTCAATTAACATCAATATATTTTTTACAACAAGGATTCACTATTCACAATCCGATAATTTAAAAAATATTTTATTTTTCTCATATGGATCATAACACATATAAATAAATTATTGTCCACAATAATGAATATTTATGCCAAAATAAATAGATCATGTACCTATTTAAAATAAATTTATCTATACTAGATAAATAATTAAATTTTGTACCATCAACACAATGCTTGTTTCAAGCTAAGCCAAAAAATTTCATAATTAACAAATTTTGTCGTCATGCAAATAATAGCCTCCTCTTAATTAATTTTCTTCTCTAAATCACAACACAAAACAATATCTTTGCATTTATAAAATGCGGCTAATATTTTGGCACAACACATTTTTTAAGTAAATCAATTTTTTTCCATATGCTCCATGCATTAGGTATCCCACAATTTCAAATATTTCAAAAAATATTTTCATGCCTTAATAATAATAATTCTAATCGAATTAGAATTTCTCATAATTTTAAATCCACATAAAATGTATGCACACTGCACAGCCTCACATTTATTTTCCTTTAACTCAAATTCTACCATTTCAAAATATTATATATGTTAGTGCATACATTAATTTCTTGAACAAGGGAACTAATCTCAATTATGACACTTAGGTGATTTTCTTCTCACTCAGATGTGCCTATCATTGCCATAAACAAATCAAATTTTACCATACGAAAGTATTAAATCATTGATATTTCTCAAGCTAAAATAACTATCATTACTTGTACCAATGATAACTAGCAATACCAACATTAATATAATAAATGCAACGAATGAACCATTCATATTCAATCTTATCTCACGGATTATGAGTTTTTATATGACAACTTTTTCCCTTGTAATAAATCTATATATCTGCAACAACATTTATTTATTAATTTAAGAAAATTTGAAGCCTACATTACAACTGAACATAAGCTGCTAACGGTTAGTCTTATAATCACATGACTTATTGCATATTAAAAAGAATATTGCAACCAAAGTCTTATATAATAAATGGTTCTTTACAAAAAAAGATCTCATAAATATGAATTGAAGAAATTCATTCACATATATCTGATGAAATTTCTTTTTAGGAATTCCACACATAACTAGTTCAAGCACTTTTTTCTTTAAAAAATATTTTTTGTTGGCATAATTGTCATTATAATACGAAGGAACGTTACAACCATTGTGCAAAATTAATTGAAAGGAACACGCCATCATCTTTAAACATTATTATCTTCTTTTGATAATCAAGAATGGACATAACCTCCTAACAATTGAAATCAAAAATTATGCTTTTAGTCATATTAAATATCACTCGATATATTTTATATCTGCACTATCAATTTGTTAATACTAGCTATATGACTATTTGTTTTCATTCTCCTCCATTCATTCTACCACAAGTTATGAGGCTTTGTTGTTATGCCAATCAAACTAGTTTCTAGCATGCAAGCAGATCTAGAAGCAATAATCTTCTAAGCACCTAATTAAAGTATAATCTGACTAACTAGAGAAGCAAGCAAATGAAGGAATAAACAAGAACTTGAAGGAAGTTGATCAACAGAATAGCAGTAGTCAGACACCATCATAGCTTGCTTCAAGTATTTGCTCCTCCCTAAGTTCCATACTCCATTCCTTGACTAAAATCTGAGGAACATGAATGCTCTCCTTGCACTACAACATATCATTTTTCTTGAATAACCAGTATCATTAACATGTGGTATTCATACTTGAGTGTTTTACTCAAATGTACCACTATTGAGGTCTTAAGTGAGTTCAAATTTTGGGACTTTCAGTATTGTTGGTGTTCATATTCACCATTTCCCATCTCAATATATACTTACTCATATGCACCCCAATAGTCAATTTTGTTCATAAACATCATCGAAACCCACTGCCTCACCACATGCCTCCACCATGTCCAAAACCACCAAGTTTAGTACAGCCATAACATGCTGGAAAAATAGCTCTTAAGATTGTTGGCACCAATAGGTAAAATATAGTTTGAGTCGTGCGTAAAGACACTGTCCTTAAGAGCTATTTTACCACACCGGGTTGATCGCGCGGCAGTTCTTCAGAATTAAACAGACTCTTCCTATTAAAAATAAGGACACAAAACAACAAAAATTCACAAAATATACTCAGGCAACTCAACAATGAATGATAGAAGAAGAGAAAAAGTTTGAGAGTACTAAAGCTCTCTTTAAACCTGTGGCAAGCACTGTCTTTTATAGGCAGATCTTATAATGCTGGGCAATAAAACCACCTTAATAACAATTAAAAAATGGTTACAAAAAAATAAAAAGGTTAAATAAATATATTTAAGTATGGGGTTATGGTAATTAATAATTTATTTCATAGTAACTCCTTTTGAAATATTAAAGATATTCTATAATATCCAACACATACTAGGTATAGATTCTCATGATTAGTAAAATCCATCGCTATATCTATTTACGTCCATCAATATGCTTGTGTTTGGCAGGTAACATTCACCTATATTATAGTTTTATATGAATTCTCTGTGTCTCTTTCTTCCCATAGCTAAGCCTTGAGCCTAGCATGATTTTCATGATTCTGTTCTTATCCAACCCAGACATTCAAATCCAAATTTAGCAATTTACTTATTAAAAGAAAAAAAACATAGAGGGCCACCTACTAAGAAATCTCATATTAGATAGAGTTCATTTGAACGTAGAAAATATCTTTAAAAAAGTTACTCTTAATTGGATCTAATAATGCTTGAATCCGATCTAGTCACATAACCTTGTGTGATTCCATCCCTTCAACACAGTTTGTTTAAGAGAATGCACTAGAAAAAGTGCTGATGTAAGAGAGACGTTGTGTTCCAAGTTTTTTTCGTTCTCGTTCCCATCTTGTACCAACTACCAACAGATCCAATATAGATGAAGATCATCAACTCCATTCTGCATACATGCCTTCAAGCTAAACATGTGTTCTGAAACAACAGTTTAATCTTCTTAATAATGTAAACTGAAAATTTCATCAATCCAGTATTGTTCAAGCAGCAAGCTGTCAAATACAATAGACCACCAATTTTTTTCCTTTTTCATTTTTCAATGAAAGAAAATTTCAAACATAATGACCAATACAAAAGGAAAAGAAACGAGAATAAAATGGATCATCTTCATATATTCCATACACTGCATCGCTTTGACTATTTGCTTTCATCAGAATCTGAAACTTCCTGCTAACAAGAGAGCGATTATGGTAACATCAATTCGCTTTCTCATTTTATAACCGGATGAGTGACTAACGAAATTAAAGTCCAAACTGCAACAAAAATGCAAATAACACTAATTAAATGAATAGATATGGCAAATCCAACATTTGCCTCTGGTCAAATTATGTTTTCTCAAGTTCACCGTTATTTCTAAAGTATCAAATTAAAAATAGAGATGTTTCGGAGAAAATAGATATCAATGCTGAAGCTATGTTGACTCTGGTTCTGACAAAAGAAAACTATCAAATATGAGAAGCCATGTGACCATTAAAAATACGAGAGCCAAACAGCACTCTATTTCATCTCAATCGGACTACATGTCCCTCTATGTCCTGTCTACTTACTTCAATAGGAGAAATATTTATTGTTATATAAATACTCTTATACAATCCACTTTTATATTTCTTATCTTTTTCTTGGTTTGAACTAACCATGCAGAAGAATGTTGTGCTGTAGTGGTTTTATTGCTTCTCTACATGAAAAGAAATAAACATGTGGAATATGAATATTAAAAAGAGCACCAGCCTAAATTTTACATTGGCTTTAAATTATAGGATACAACAATAATTTAGGTTCACTGTACCTGTTCCGTGACCAGCTGTTTGATAGTAGCATTAAGGTCTTCTGTCCAATGCCTTGTTAAATTTATATTCAATAGTATCCTTGGGCCTATAATGGCTGCTGATGAGAAATTCTGCATTCTGGGGCATCCTCTCACTTTTAATAATTCAAATGATGGGAATGCAAAAGTGAGTTCGCCAGAGCAGAAGCTTTTGAGAGAAGGTAAAGAAATCATTTCCATATATTCTAAGCTTTCAAATGTGATCTCTTCTGGTGTTGCTACATCGATCATCACAACTTCCTCCATCATCCCACAATTTCTTATGCGTAACTCTTTGAGGTGCACAAGACTTTTAGCAGTGGAAGTTGTCATTAAAAAGGTCAACCTTTTGCAATCCTTCACTTCTAGGGAAGTTAAACTTGTGAAAGATATTGAAGGTGGTTCCAAGCTTGTTAGACTTGGACAATCCCACACGTTGAGTTCCTCAAGGACAACTACAGAGAGTCGTCATCATTCCATATTTGCTCAAGTTGCTCCAGCTTATAAAGCCACAACGTTTTTAAACAGCAATAACCAATTTTCTTGGAAGGAAAAAGTACTTTGAAAGTACTATAACGCCGTTCAAGTGTTGTAATATTAGGGAATTTCTCAAGGAACCTATTTAGCCACATTATTGGAGTTTCTTCAAAGCGTTGTAGAATAAGCACCTCCACACGATGAAAGAGACTTGCTTCACAATGACTATTCAATATCTTCATAGAATCTTTTTCATTTAATGCCAACTCTTTTAAAGTCGGTGACACCTAATAAACAAAAATATATAAATAACAGTATTTAATCTTCAATTCATGAAATAATTTAATAAATTTGTGACAGTGATAATATTTATGTTTACCTTGATTTAACTCAAAAATCCATTTGTAAGAATCAACCAAGAAAAAAAAAAGCATACATGTACCTTTTCAAAAGAAAAGAACGTTTGTTGAGTTGGCATGTCAATTTCATCCACCCTTGATGTATGCTGGGAATCCAAATGGCTAAAGTCAGATATTTCCAATTTTTCACAATCATAGACATCTCCAATGAAGGACATGCTAAATTATGCCTTCTTGGATAAAAATTCTTCAATTGTGACATCTAATATAGCTTGAAGATAGTCAAATTTGGAAAATCAAACTCAAGATCCTCTAGTCCTTCTCCTTCAATTGCAACAATTTCCTCAATGCCACAGGAACGTATGTCAAGCACTTGGAGCTGCTGCAGATCTTGGCGTAACGTTACCGAAAACATGTTTCATGTTTTGGCATTCATCGATTGTTAAGATCTGCAAATTTTTGAAACCGAGTATTTTTGGAAGGTTTTTAGTCCATATATATTTCAGATTCGGTAGTCCCAATAGAGTTAGCTTTTTCAACTGACTTTCTTCCTTTACATGCATTTCTCTGTCGTCCATGACCTTCACATCAAACACTGTTTCTAACGAATCACAATCACTTACTTGTAGCTCCTCTAATGAACGTAGCAATGTCAACAAACTCGATGAAATGAGCTTCAAATGATCCGAACTTCTAAAATAGACCTGTTTAAAAAAATGCAGAGCATGAGTTACATTTTGTATGTTCTCTTTGTGCTACTTTTTCTAGAATGTATTCAGTTTGGTACAAGTCTTCGTTAGAAGCCTATTTTACAAGAAACTATTTCTATTTTAATTAAAAACAATAAATTCGTAATAATTTGATATGCCTTTCAATATTTAAGGCCGATGGTGGATCGGCCTAAAATAATTAGCAACTCCAAAACTGGGAAGAAAATAAGGGGGAGAGAAAAATATGAGGAGAAATTTTCATTTTAAAACCTATATTTTACTATTTTAGAAGTTTTCCCTCCTTGTTTTCCTTTCTATTTTTATGCCATCCAAATTAAAGGTAAGACTTTAAGCTAGAAGTGCTTCTGATGGAGACTTAGTAAAATAGGATACCAAATCCCACATTAAGTAGTATAGGATGCTTAATGAGATATATAAATGGGTTGATTCTCCCACTTCAACAGCTAATTTTTGGGATAGGATTTTCATCCCACTTAGGTACCTATCAACTTTACAAAAAGTCTTATCATGACAATTAAAATATAACCAGGCGTATTTGGAGAATGTTGATTCATAAGCTCTGAATCCATGGCTTTCAACCTTTCATATTCCAAATGAGATGATTTTGGAGCCTTTTTAAGATGTTAATATCTATTTTCTTGCACACAGTTCGACTCTAGAACCTCCACAAATTTTCCTAGGGGGAGAATAATTTAAAAGTAAAATACAATGACTTTCATTGAGTTTTGTTAAAATTTTAAATACATTCTCTCCATTTCTAAATCTATATTTTAATCCAATTTCAAAAACCGTTAAAAATATTATATTAAAAGTTCTAAAAAATAATTAATTATATTAATTGAAATTATATTAAAATTATTAATTTTCCTTTGTAATCTAATTCTCTACTCTTTTGTCCCAAATTAAGAAATTTCATAAAACTAAGTATGGTTATATTTAAAATACTTTCTCACAAAATATTAAAATTAATAAAAATAATTAATGTTAATAAAATTTACATCAAAATAAGCATGGAAATTATATTAAAATTTATTCATTATTAAATTAAATTTTCATTTTTTAATTTTTTCCATATGTGTTTGAAATATAATTTGGCCTAATTTATGTATTTATTGAAATTTTCATATTATTAATATGTATTTAAACTTTTAAAATTTGGCCTAGTTAATGTGTTTTTTTTTTCAAACAAAGTCCTTAATCAATGAATCACTTTATATTTATTTTTAAATGAAATATCCTATTAAATAAAAATAAATATGAAAAGATAATATTAGTTTGAAAATAGTTAACTAAGTTATTAGAGGTGACATTCAATTAAAAATACTTTTTTTTTGACAGAGAGAGTATGTTAGTATAAAATAAACTATGACTTAAAACATTAATTAATATTTAATATATGTTACTTTTTTGAAAAAAAAATATTTGGGCCAAGCCCCAACTCAATCTGGCTTGAGTTGAATATTAAAACATTATTATTGTTTTCAGACCAATTCTAAACTTTTTGGTCTTATTCTAGCTAGTCTATTAAGTTTGGTCCAAATTATCACCCAAATTAAGATAATGGATCATACCTTATCTTATCCATTCGATGCTTGGCATTCACTGGCATGAATATCCCCTGAATTACCCAAGCTCGCAAGTTCATGGGAATCGTGTTTCCATATGTGCTTGAGTTTTGGCAGATTACTCAGTCTCATTTTCTTCAACTGAAAAGTTCCTCTCGCATTCATTCTTCTTTCATCTATATCACCCAAATCAAACACGGCTTCAAGTGTATCGCACTCACACTTCAAGCTCGTCCAAGTTGAAAGAGCTTCTAGTATACTTCCAGAAAGAAGAATATTCGAAAGCCAACGGCAATTTCACACCACCAAAGATTTCAAATTGCAAAATAATTGATGCCCAACCTGGCCATACCACACTACTTTAAACATTGGATATTTCGAAAGCTCTAAACGCTCAAAGCTTTGAAATGCAACCTGTACAAAAGAATTTATAGTGTCAGTCACATAATATCAGGACATTGGGGCACATCAAACAATTTATTTTAATTCATTCTGCAACTTTCAAAATTAGTATGGCTAAATTATACACACCTTGTTCAGAAACATCTTGCTAATTGTTCCATTGAATTCTCTTTCCCAATAGAATTTTCCCTCGTCTTTTTCCTCTGTTAGTACTTTTTTAAGCTTTGATGCACTTATTGCTTTATGGGAGAAAATCTGCATCCTGGGGCATTGGCTAACAACAACTCTATCCAACCATGGGAACTTGAAGGGGCACTTGCTTGATGAAAAGCTATGGAGCCTTGGCAAATAAATCAGCTCTAAACTAAACAAACTGTTAAACGCAATGTCATTTTCTGTCTCATTCACCTCTTCTGTCACAATTTCTTCGAGGGAATCACGCTGTTCTATTTTCATCCTTTGCAATTTGAAAAGACTTCCAGCTGTTAATGAGGTCATTAGGCTTTTCAAACTGTTGCACTGTATCACCTCCAGGTATGTCAAGTGGCAGAAAGTTGCAGAGGAGGGAAATAAATTTCCTAAACTTGAACATTCTCGCACGCCTAAGACTTCAAGAACCTCCAGAACATGGTGAATTTGTCTTCCATCTCTACATAAATTCTGAAGTTTGGGTAAACAATTTAGCCACAATGCTTCAAGTCGAGTGCTAATAGTTTTCCATCCTTCCTCGTCGGTTAGCAATTCATCATAAAATATCTCCTTCGTGGAACTGAACGAAACAGTTAGACTCTCGAGACTGGGTGCATTCTTGAGAAACTAGTGCAGAGAACTTGCTTCATCATCTTGAAAAGCGGCTAGGTGCAGTGGAACTTGGTGATGCAATATGACTTTAGCATCCCAAGATTGCAGGGTCAACTCATCCAATTTGCCAATCACCTACAAAGGTGCATAATTGAATAATGCAAAGTTCCATCATTAGAAGTTACAAAGTCATTGTTTTGCATTGTGACTTGATAAAAAGAGAATAATTAGAGTTCACAGATAACAGGATATAAATTTGTTATTTACAGTTGCGAAATGTAACAAGAAAGTACTATGAAGATTTTCATAAAACGGGATGCAAAATAAATGAACAGAACATATCGCAATGTTGTGCCCACAAATTTAAGAGACAAACTATGAGGTGGATATTATGAGTAAGGATAAAAGCTTTTATATCTCCCATACCTCTTCAACTGTCAGCAGAGGTTGTCGCATTGAGAAATGAAATCGATCATCAACAGAATTGCTGGCATCTATTTGCATGTTTATTGAATACCTTTAGTTTCCTACAATACCACAGACAATATTTTCAAGGATTGACATTCTAATGTATGAACCCCTGCATAGAATCCCTTGAGTTCATGCAATTTGTATAGGATAAGGGAGGTGAGATGATTAAGCTCAAATATGGAAGTTTCATCCACTGGTCCATCCTTCATTGAAACAATTTCCTTTATCCCACACAAAACTAACTTGAGATATTCAAGTTGTGGAAGATCCTTGAAGAAGGGGAAGATATATTCCAGCTTGTTACAGTCCTCAATGCGCATAAATTGTAGATTGGAAAAGCGAACAAGTCCTTGGTGATCATTGCTCCATATCTGTTTCATCTCTGGCAGTCCATCTATTTCTAGATTTTGCAGCTCTGCTGTCACCTCTTGTGTATGCATTCGATTAGCAGCAGTGAATTGGAATATCTCTTCCACTAAAGCACAATCTCGAACACTCAATATCTCAAGACTGAAGACTTAATGCTTCATGCATGTAACCTGATGGAAAAATAGTCTCCAATTTCTCACATTTGTTGACTTCCAATGTCTTCAATCTGCCAAATTGGTAGTGATATGCTGTCTTCAAGTTTTTCACGTCATTTATCATGATCTCCTCCAGATTGGGAAATCCAGCCTATTTGATGCCCAACAAATCATGAATATTGTATGATAAACATAATACTGATCCTCAACGAATTAAAAAGAAATTAAACCTTAATAATATATATGTTACATATTTACATGAATGTGCTTAAGACATTTTTATTTATTAAAACTATTATGAATGTGCTTAAAACAGAGTCTCTACTTTTATAAGATAGTGTCGTGTTTAAGACTTTTTTTGTTCATTAAAACTATTATGAGATGAAATACAAATGTCAGCAACTTCCAAATAACTTAAGAACAAAATCATAGTACCTGATCTTGAGCCAGCATAATCCCATTGTTACTTCCTTCAGTGGCTATTATCTCCTCCATCGCATGACATTTACTTATTTCCAGCCGCTTGAGATTTTTCAAATTTTCAAACACAAATGTTGAGAACAAATACCGCAGGCTGCCACAGCCGTCCGCGATCAAATTAGCAAGATTCCGAAAAGAAGTGGCCACTGAATGTTGATAATCATCCCAAATTTTGTCCAAATTAATCGAGCTCAATTTCAAAGCCTCCAAATTTGGCAATGAAACCTACCAAAATATATACTCCCTCCGGTCCTATTTATAAGTCATTTCTACCAACCTCATCAATACCAATACAATAAAAGTACAAGGAATAAAAGTAAGTAAAATTCCAAACATGCCCCTATATAACAAATCTAAAAAGTAATGTCCTGTTACTTTTTCTCTCTCATGAAGGGTAATTTTGGAAATACCTCTCAAATATTACCTAAAAAGACGCACCTGACTTATAAATGGGACCAAATACATCCTTCTAAAATTGAACTTATAAATGGGACCGGAGGGAGTATATATATATATATATTGCTTCTAAATCTTAATCCAATATATGCACAAAACAATCACCTTGTTGACACATTATATGAATGAGTACAAATTAAGTTCCCAAATTGGGAGACCCCATAAAAGGAAACAGTCTCTACTTTTAGATGAAAATGGGGTGGTCATCAAAATCTCTGTTCACTCAATTTTATAAATTAATCAACTATTGAAATTTGTAATATATCATAACCAGATAATATTTTTTGTAAAACTAGACACACACAAACATATGATGTGCGTGTGTGTTTTATATACATATATACAAACAATTAAGCTCATCTTGATAATAACTACACAGCTAAATTTTAAAATTTTGAACAGATAAATTTTCCATTATATGATCTTTGTTTTAAAACCACTACTCTAATTTCCATATAACAAATGCATGAGAAATATTAAAATGCAACAAAATGAGTATATCTTTGCATCAAAGAATAATGTTGGGCTATCAGAGCAGCAAAAACCGGCTATTGCGGGTAAATATTGCAAAGCCAAGCATCGCAATGGAATAAATTCAACTTTATTGATGACCATGCTACTATTCATACTTTCCACAGACACAATATTCTTCACATAATGCCATTCGGAGACTTCAATTTTAGCGGCCCACAACTTATGAGTTTGATGACTCTAAATTTTCCAAACTGATGAACGGTCAGAGGACCATGACATATCTCCTCCAACTTCGGGAGATTTTGAAGTATTAGTGTCTCCAATTTTGGAAACAAAAAATGAGTTTGATTCCTCCCCATTGAGTTGATAATGCACTGAATCTCTCCATTATTTTTTATGTATAGATGCTTTAGCTGTGGAAATCCTTCACCATTCAATTGGACAAGGACATTCGTAATTGCATGTACTTCCTCTAAGTATAAATCTTCCATGCTTTTTATCAATGTCTCAATCCCATGTTCTAAATGAATGCTAGTATCAAGCTTTAGCTTTAAAAACCTTGAGATCTTATTGTCATATGGCCATTCTCACTTGTCTCCAATAACAACATTATATCTCTCTAACTTCTCTAACTTAATGTCCCTCAGTAAATTCCAAGTCTCAGCTTGAATTTCTAGAGTACTCAAGCTTTGCAAATGCAAAAGCTCAACGGCACTAGCTTTTTTGTTTTGCTTTATTGAACTTTCTGCCTCCCATTTAATTATTGAGACAGTGCCCTTGTACAATTCCTCAAGTTTGGTCAACTTGGATACAACATCAGGCGGGATGACCTCAATTCCAGAACCACTCAAATCCAACATTCTTAGATGAGCCAGTTGTCCAATTTCACTAGGAAACTCTTCTGAAGATGAATGGAGGAAGCAAAGAATTTCTAAATTTTTCAAGGCTCCAATTCCAGCCATATCTTTCAAATAACACTAATCCAAACACAATGTTTTAAGTTCAGTCAATGTGGCAAGAGATGTAGGTAACGTTGGTATGATCATTCCAGTCAAATCCAACACTTCAAGGTTTCTCATTCCCTTGAAAAAGGAGTTTGGAATTTCCAAACAAGGATTATACGTTTTCAAACAAGGGCAATGTAACTTCTCAAGAAGTTTTTGGATACAACATGGATCCAAGATTATCTGGGTACACAATTTAAGAAAATCCTCGCTTGGCCAATCTTGCAACCCAATTGAACTTTTCATTGTGAAAACAAATAGATCCCTGTAAGCAATTGATGTGGCTATTTCACATATGATATCATGCGTTTTGATCACTATTGTACTTGCATCATTGTCAAGCAACAAACAAGCTGACTTCAAGTCATCAATCGTTTGTAAAGTTTGTCTCTTGCATCCTCAATGGCATCTACATGTTTGAATATACCTAATACCCATGTATATTTCAACAAGTCACTAACACATGTGGACGTTCCTAGAACAGCATAAAGCAAGAATACTTGCTTGGCTTTATCATCTTCCAATTGATTATAACTAAATTCCAAAGCTGCAGAAACAATCTCAGGTATTTCTGCACGAGCAGCTCTTTTCAGGTTTTTCAAAGCATCTTTCCAATGATAAATGGGCTTGTTTTTTAATGACTTGGCCATTGTGACTATCACAGCAGGCAAGCCAGCACAACTTTGGGCCACTTGGGTTGCAATATCTTGCCACTCGACATCTTTGACAGCATCATCATTCATCATTTGAAATAATCTACTAGATTCTTCATCACTTAAAACTTCGAGTCTGATCTTTTTGTGTAACATTTTTTTGTAGAATATTTTGGTTTCTTGGAAGTGAGCAACAATTTGCAGCCCCGATAATTATCCTCCGTAGAATTTTCCAACTTGTGATTATCTTGCAACGGAATTCCCAATTTAGCCAAATCAAGTTCTTTATAAATGTCGTCCAATATGATGAGGATAGCTTTCTCCTGTCTGTTTCTCCCATATAAGCGGCCTGCTTTTCCAATTGTGGACTTCTCTTCAAAGCGAAGGCCCAACTGATCTGCCATCTGATCTTGAATTCTGTCAATATCTACAATTTGTGATACAGTCACCATAACCACTTCATCAAATAACTTGTCATCCTTAACTTGTGCAACAATTTCTCTAGCTAGAGTGGTTTTCCCCACCCCAATTAATCCATAGACCCCCATTCTGCTTACTTTAGGGTCTTTTAGAGACCACAAAATGTCCTCCTTCATTGAGCTCCTTGACTCAAGCTTGACACTATCACTTGTAGCAGAAATTAATTCTCTGGTTGGGAAAGGAGGGAGGTACCCAATTTGATCAAACTTCCATTCTCCAAGCAGCTTAACAATGTTTTCTGCCATTTTCTCTACATTTCGGCTAAGCCGATATCGGGACTTTACATTAGGAATGCGCCATCTGGAGCATCCTGCATTCACACGCCGAGGATCTTCACACAATCCTTGAGCTCTTTTCAAGGCCTCATCACCTTCGTTCAGCCACTTCTTCACATCATCTTCGATCTCTTTTCCAGCCCTTCTTTCTGTTTCAGCATCACGCTCGACAAGCTCTTTTTCTATCCTCAGCTCCAGAACTTGATCATTTAGCTCCTTGAAATTGTCTTCGTAGGAGTACAAATATCTCACTTGCCGGACATTGGGTCCCACAGTATACCCTGCTATTGTTGCAGCAATGTTACTGAGAATCTCCATTCTTGTTTCCTGATTTGATGTTCAATAATACAAATACAAATATCAAGGCATGTTACACAGAGAAATAGGTGCCTTAAGAAGCCATTTTTTGATGCAAAAGCGGCAAGTAAACACACCTTAGCTGTAGATATCCAGCGAGAAAGTTACTTTCTTTGCTGATTTGTTGATGGCTTCTTCAATATTTCTGCAGTGAACTTCAAGAATAAAAAACGATAGATCCAACCAAATCAAAAACCAAACAGCCTACCTCAGCCTCCGAGCAAACAGAAAAAAAGTACAGACAAGAAAGTGGAAACAAGTAAAGCAATGCTATATTTGTTGGTTTTTTAAACCCAGAGGCAAATTTTAATAACCTACATTTTTCAACCATATGACAAATAATATATTGTGATCGAGTTTGAAGAAATAGCTTTTGACTTTATGCACCCGATAGTGTGCGCGAGTCTGTATGTGAGAGAGAGAGAGAGAGACGAATGAAGTATAAGAGCTGAATTTTTTTTTTTTTTTACCAATAACAACTGAAGATTTGAATCTGAATAAAAGACAATACATGTATGTACATAATAGATAAAAAGGGTTGTCTTTAAATAAGGAAAAAGAAGAGAGGACGTGAAGATAATACAGAACTAAAAGGGACCTTACCCCAATTTCTGTGAACAAGAGGTGTTTGTTGAAATTGTCTTTCCTTTGCTTGACAAGTAAATTTCTGTCGTTCAGAATCAACACATATTCAAGGGGGAAAAAAAAAAGCAAATCATGTCATGAATCATCAAATCCAAAAGTTCTAACCATCAGGAGGAGGACTTTACCCGATTCACAAACGAAACTTCTTAACTCTTGACTCTGATGGACTACAAACTGAGACAGTACCAACTCAAGCACAAACTTGAAGGATGAGAAATGAGAAATATTTTCTGCTTTTTTTTTTGAGAAGATTTTTGAAAACCAACAAACAGAAGAAGAGTAACAAAGAGTAGAGTTGCAAGAGAAAAGAAATCTCTAACAAATACGTCAACTTACAAAAAAAAAAATATTAAGGATGGGAAAGCTTTTTCTGCTTTTGTAAAGATCTACAGGGCAACAAATAGAAGAGTAACCAGAACAGAAATCTCTGAACTAAAGATCGAGGCAAAACAAAACAGTTAAAGGATGAGCAAAAAAAATACTTCTGTTTGGTTCAAAGATTTTTGAAGCAACAAACAGAAGAAGAGTTGCAAGAAAAAAATCTCTAAACGAAATGTCAACTATTTTTTTCCAGCTTTTTCGGACAGATTTTTAAAACAACAAACAGAATAAGAGGTAACAAGAACAGAGACCCTTGAACAAAGATACTTTTTTTAAAAAAAATTGTTGATACTGGAAAATGAAAACAAGTTGAATAGAAAACGGGGAAGAAGGAATGGAGAATGATAGTAGGGGGAAAAAAACCCCCCACGATTTTATTTTATTTTTTTTAAATGCAACTAGGACTTTAGAAGGAAACAGAGCAAGAAATTGAAAGAACAGAGTAGCTGAGGAAGAGGAAGCAGAGGAAATGAGATGCAAGCAAAAGATAACGGTGATGCAGCAAAGAATCATGCATAACAATGCGATTGGTACTTTCACTTTTATTTGGATGTTTTTTGGGGCCAAAGAGCTTTATTAGACGTTTGATAGAATTTAATAGAATTAGTTAATAAAAATAAATATTTTCTGCTGATAAAAAAAATTAAATATATTCTTTCTTTCTTTTAAAATTAAACATTTTATATTACATCAATAAAAAATAAAAAAATTTCCTTTATTATTCACTCTTATAAATATTACAATACCACTTCCTCTCTATGTTATAGGATAATTTTATAGGTAATTATGTGATACAGACTACAAAGACAATATTACTTTCTCTCTATATTAAAAGATAATTTCAAAAGTAATTATGTGATACAAACTGCAAGATAATGTAATAAAAATAAAATTTTATTAATTTTTTAATATTATCTTTCCCTTCTTATTAATGTTATCCTTATTTTATTTTATTTTTTTGGTCAAAATGTTATCATAACTCCCTCTGTTTAAAAAATATAAAGTATTTTTAATTAAATTATATTTTTTAATAGAGTAATTATTTATTTTTAAATTAATAATATATTTTTATCTTTAAATTAAAAAAAAATATTTTCATTGCTGTATGTGCAACTATTATTCTCAATATTACTTCCTAGTATTGTATATGCAGATTATGAGAATTCAATTAGAAATAACATGCTTATAAATTACTCCTTTAGTTACTTAACACAAGATAAAATTTTACAGAATATTCAATGTAGCATTTCTCTACATGAAAAAATTTATAAATTTTTAAGATTAATTAACAACTTTTAAAAAATAAAAAATAAGGATTAATTAAGAGTATGTTTAAAAACATAAAAAACTAAGATATAAACATGTTAAAATTATTTTATTAATACATGTAAAGTAGCCAATTATATCTATAAAAATTTCTGAAGAGAAAACTCTTTTTAATCATTCCCTCTAATAACAGTCGCATTGAAATTCTAGTCAATTTAGCTAATTAAATCTATAAATTTTTAAACTAATATCATGTTCTGTTCGATAAAAAATTTTCTTTATAACCAAATAAGCTACAATTATAATTTTGATTATTAAATTGGTCGGTTTGTAAGACTTAATAATACAAGAAGACATGCCATGTGAGAAATTTACAAAGAAAATGATGACGGTGGTGGTGGAGGGACCTAGGATTTGACAGAAAGGGCATGACGCGGCTAAAAATGTAGAGCGACAACCTCCATACAGTCAAAAAGCAAACTCTTTTTTTTTTTAAATGTAAACCGAGCCTTCATTCAACAATGGAGCAAAGTAAACAGAGCTCACAGCTTTTTGGCCAAAAAAAAAAAAGAATACACGGCTAAAAGAAAAGCTAACACCTACAAAGTATAAAGGAAGAATGAAAAGAAAAAGACTTTATAAAAATATTAATATTAGATTAAAAATTTTAAAACTAAAATATGAAAGAAGAAATGCTTAATTTAAGAATGCTGGTATTAAAAAATCTTAATTTAATATTAATGTTTTCAAAGCGTTCTTATTTGTCATTCTCTCACGTACAAACAAACAAAAACAGAAAACAGCCACCCCAAAAACATGATCCCAAAGTCTGGCCATACACACAAATTGTACCAGATATGAAGGAAAGAGAAAAAAAAATATATATTGTTAATAAAGTAATAAATTTCGGTAATGGCCGGGCCTGACTTCGAGATCTGACCGTGATTATTGTTGCCTTGGTGGAAATAAAAAGAAAAAGGGAAAAGGAAAATAAAGTAATAAATAATGCTGGTTAAACTTGTTAATACTTAATATTTAGAAAAGGATATTCGAATCAAAAGTCAAAAGTAAAGTATTGTGGGAAATTTTGGAAAGGAAAAGGTAAGTCCGCACAAACAGGAAATGAAAGGTGAACCAAAAGAGGACCGAGTAATAGATTGATCTAAGATATCTTGATGACATGATCTTACACATTAAAACCTCATACATAAACTGCGACATTCTGGTGATAGTGTCTGCCTATAACAATCATCTTGGAACCCTTCCTTAAAGAGTAAACTACTGTCAAAATATTATAAACAAACCCCAAGGCATCCCAAAGAGTTAACATGAGATGGGGTGACTACATAATCGAATAAATTTTTCTTTTTCTTTTTCTTTCTTTGTTTTTTTTTTTTTTTTTGCTCACTTTAACTAAACTTTTCTACTTAAATACATGAAGGTGAAGATGACAAGGAGCATAACAGCAAGAGATGAAAAGTAAAAGGTACACTCTTTTTAACTAAATTGCTATATATATATATATATATAAGAATTTGAATTTAAATTTTTAATCATTTATATGAGTAACAAGAGTCTTCACCACACATACCTATTTTGAGTTAGTGTTGAGGATGGTGGCACATATGTGTAATTGAGGGGGGATTCAACTGGGGAAAAATTGTGAAAAGGAGGTAAGAGTTTTAAAAGTTAGTTGTTCTTGGATTTTATTATTTAATTTGCCCATTTAAGGTATTTTGGCCCCAAAAAAAAACCCCCCATTTGAGATAGATAGTTTTTTTCTTTTTGTGATAGGTAGACAGTTCTCTTTGAAGTATACAAACCCATTTAACCAACGTTCTTTTGGGATTTTTTAAATTAATGTATATAATATTTTTAAAAAAAATTGAGAGAGAACTAAGAAAAAAGGTAGGTTGAGCCATAAGCAATGGCAGACCTATGTGTATTTGAGGAGGCAAATACACCCCCTCACATAGAGAAAATTGTATGCATAATATATAAAAATTACAATCTTGTACTATTAGTTTTAGAATTTTAAATCCTCTAGGCTTACTAAAAAAATATTTGAATTTAAAAACTTCTCAAATAAATGATATTTTAACTCATATCTCATAAATTTAAACCAAAAAATTTAATACTCATTAAACATATTATTAAAAAAATGGATTAAAAATTTTTTATTTTATAATAAAATTCAAGAACAACGAATTAAATTCATCCTTGCAAGTAATGATTGTCTTTTCTCTTTCTTTAAATTAAACTCTATTAATTTTCTCAACATACTTTTTTGTCCAAATAAATCCTTAGTATATTTTTTCCAAATAAAAATATGCATAATTTTACTTATGGTATTATAATTTTTCTCTAATGTAATTATTCTTTAAAATTATTATAATATTTTTTAATTATTAATTTTTAATTGAGTTGTCTAGCATTTCTTAATTTTAAGTCTTAACTCCACCACTAGCCGTGGGAGTAATGTAATGTTGAATTAACAGATTTTGGAGGAGAAGCTGCACAAGCTGCTCTATTCAAAACAAGGAGGAAGTTTCCCTTAACACATTGTTTACTACATGTAGGGTGTTCATGCTTATGCCAATTCTGATCGGATCAAATTATGTCAATCTCAACTTTAAAATAAGAGACAGAACTTTGCTAAATAGGACAAAAACATACTTGGGATGATACAGGACATGGGTTCATTATCAAGAAATCACGTTCTGTCACGAATTTAATTTATGTATTATTATTATTTTTTACTTTCTTTTGTTAATACTTTATTTTTCATCTAGTCAAAATACAATAAAATAGTGTTTGTGTGCGCATATATATTGTTTACTTATTCAATGAAAATACATTATTTTTCCTCAACTTTGACCTTCTTTACAAGGAGAATTACAACCAAATCATATATAAAGAAATTAATTACTATAATACCTATTAACAATTAAATTAAACTATATTGATCATTTTAAATCATACAGTAATTAATTTTTTAGGTAAAATTTTAATATAATTCTCTCTTCTTTATATGCTATTATATTGATAATTTATCATTGTGAATCTCAGTCATTTCCTAATATTAGAGCTGATAATTTATCATTGTAAAGCCCTCCCTTTTGGCTCTGGAAGTTTGAGTTTATAGTTGATGCTGCTTTAAAGTCATATCTAGTTTGTATGAAAGCTTTTTCTTACCCTTTATTCTTTCCTAATTTTAATTCAATCAAAAGAAAAATTCTTGTATATGCTCAATACACTATCTCTTTAGTTTAGATAATGTGATACACTAGATCTATGTAAAAAATTGCCAATTCTTACAACATAAGTTTCCGGCATCCCCCAATTTCAACTTTTTTACCACACAAAATACAAGAGCATTAATGTTGGATCTTCATTCGGTGCTTGAGCACTGAGAGCTCGTTATTGGAAAAGCTCATAACAGCCTTTCATTTTAACATGGAATAATCCCTACCCTTGATCTTAAATTGATTTTTAAATATTTTTAATATTATGTACATTAAAATAAAAATTATAAAAATATATTAATATTAAATATGAATTGCCTAAAGTATATCTAAATTGTTCAGAGTAAAAATTAAAAAAAATAAATTTGACCTTCCAAATTAAACATGTACTGTCAACACTACATATGGATAATTAATTTTGAAAAAGAGACTTTTGCATTTATAACCTATTATATAGGATCAAACAAATATAACAGCTCAACATTTTAAATATTTTGCAATATGATCAAATTAATAGTTAGAATAAATTAAAATGACAAAAATGCCCTTCTCAAATTTGAAATCTCATTTTTATTTTTAAATCTGAAATATATTATACCCACTTAGTTGATTGTGAAGTATTAAAAAATTTTCAAATATTTGTTGTAAATTGGCCATAATTATGATCATTCAGTTATGAGAGTTTTGCTACTCTGTTACACAAGTTTTTTTTTTATTTGTTTCGGGGATAAAAAGGAAAAATCAAACCTCAACTGATTATAAATGAGTCACATTCCAGAATTTTCATAAACTTGTTCCACAATTTTTAGTTAATATATTTTTAATGACCATTCAGCCTATTTACTCTTTGAAAAATTATAAAAAAAATTAATATTAAATTGAATTGTCCAAACGCACTATCTTGATTAGTAATAGATAGATTAATTAAAAAATTTATAAATTCTCATTCTTTTTCCACATATAAATTCTTATTTTATTAAATAAAAATAAAAAAAAATTAAATCTGAATGATCCAAATATTATAAGTTGACGAGCATCATTAGTGTTTCATTCCCCTAATAAGTATAGGAGATATTTCAAATTTAACATTAAACTTTTTTATAATTTTTATACATTTTTATTTTGATACACACTACTAAAAATATATAAATATCAATTCTGAATAAATGGCTGGGATAATTTCATGTCAAATTGAAAGGCTGGAATGAACTGTCCCATAATGAGCTCCCAGGGCTCATTGGCGTGATGAACACCCAATAAGGATCCCATTAATGTTATTATATTTTTCGCTGTTCAAACCATTTATTGCCAAGCTTTCAATTTTTACAATGCAAGGTTTCACTTTTAACATCAATTTTTCACTTTTTACGTCTCAAAAAGCGAAAGCCACATGGTATTACCTCTATTTCAAGCCAAATCAAATTGCCATACTCTCCTTCCAATATTTACAAGGTTTTACATTTTATATCCCATTTTTCGCCTTTTAAGAGTCTGTTTGTTTAAAATTTAAAAAATAAATAATTTTTAAATAGTTTAAATATTTTATAAAAACAAATTTATTTTATAAATATTTTATAAATGCAGACATAATTTTATGTTTTGTTACAATAATAAAAAATAATTATTAGTTAATTATTTTTAAATTTTACAACACGCGCGCGCACTAGATTATTTTCAAAAGCTACTCAAAGTAACTTCTTAAAATAATCAAAAACCTGCTTTTTTTTATTCTAATTTTTTTAAAAAGTTTAAACAAACATTATAAAACTCTTTTTTTCAAAAAAATAAGTAATTTTTTTAATAAATAAACTAAAAAAAAAAGCTCTGAAACTCATTTGGTAAGATCACAAAACCACCTAACATCACATGATCAATTGTCTATCCTTTACTTGATTGATCATGATTATTCCTCCACTGAAAAATATCATTTGGATACCTAAAGCCACTGAGGAATATTATGTGGATGTAAAGTAACAGGTTTAAAAGAGAGAATTTTGAATAGTCTAAAATTGAGGTAAAGACAATACAGAAGGCCAACAAAAGAGTCATGGGGGGGGGGGAGTTTTCCCTTCCCTACATGCATTTAAAAGCCAACCAAGTTAGGTTCCAAATTCCACACTGTGGGCCCTCCTCCTATGCTTGACAATCAATCTTTCAAGGAAAGTCAAGAATGAAATGATCATGCCTTCCTGACTTAAGTGACAAGGGTTGGCTACCTAGAATGAATGGCTAAGGAAATATCCAAAGCAAGTGAATCAGATAGATTGGTTCGGTTGTCTTAGAATAACATCAAAGTCACTTACACTCCACTCTGCTACTTCATCTTGATCACTAACAAATATCTCCGTACCTGTGTCAATGGAGGTCCATATTCTCTTAGCAGGACGAGTCCCTGGATCCTGCACCAAACAAATTTCATATTTGTCAAACACACAACACAAACTTGCATTGAATTTGAAACATTTCAATAGCAGCAAAAAAAAAAAAAAAAGGAGTTAGCTAGCTAGTAATCTGACCTGATAGAAGTAGAGTCTACTAGCTAGCCCACCAACATCAAGTTCCCAAGTCCTTGCATCCCCAACCCAACCATCCCCTTTTTTAGTGGGATATCCATATTCACCCCAAATAGGATGAGGAAGTAGCTGAACTATCTCTTGTGCCTGAGGATTGCTATAGGGATCACAAGTGCTCACCGGCTGCTCCAGGTACCGGGCATTCCCTGGGGCACAGTAATAGTGATAAGCCGAGTATGGGAAATTCGCGGTATCGTTTCTGTATATTTTTCTGTCGTCTGGGGTGATGTGATATGGTGGGCAATTTACCAAACCCTTTGGGCTGCACCAAGCTGGAGTTTCTGGGTTGATGATCATCTCACTGTATCTGGTGACATCTGTAACAACATCTCCATCGCATGCAGAACCATCGTTCTTCCAGCAGCTTCCAATGTCTAGGAGATAGAACTGGCTCTTGGGTCCTCCACCTCTTTTGATATTTAAACTCAATTTTACCTTGAAATTGGGTGACTCTGGAAGCTGAGTCATGAACACGATTGGCTAATCAGAAAAAAGTGCAAGTATAGAACATCGAATCTGATAGCATTTCTACATTAAACAAGCTTTTACTTACAATTTTGAGCATTCCCCTTGTGTCATAATGATAACCTCCAGAAAATCCTTTGGTCGCATCAGCTCTGAGGTAGAGCATCAGCCATGGATATTTCTTTGAAGTCTTCAGCTTATGTTTGAACATCCAACTTCCAACATTGACCTTCTTTTCCCAGACTACCTCATAGTAAGAGAGGCCATCACGTTCTCTATCCCCACAATTGGAATCCAAATCATAAGTGCCACTGAAACTTCCTTGCAATGTACCATCTTTAAGCTGGGTCCATTGATGGCATAAGATAGGCTGGTTCATACACCCAGGTCCAAAGCAGGGAAACCTTCCTGGTCTAAAAGGAGGAGCCTTTTTCCCATTCTCAGGACATAAACCGGAACGTGTGTCGTAGTTTCCATTTTTCAACATAATCATCCAAAATTGCCAAGGTCTTGGGGTGTCTTTCACTTCACACAACGAACCCAAATATAATTCCTTGTCAACCGCATACATGTCTGTGTCGTTCATATCTCCTGGACTCAGACCTGGAAAAGATTTCCCTACCCCTAGTCTGTTATCATCTTCTGTAACCTTGTGTTTCAGAGTGTCTGTTCATTAGAATCAGATTCAGCTTTTAACAACAGAATAAGATCTATAGATTTTCTAGGAAACACAAGAGGTGATCACTAAAATGTGAGTAGATTGGAAATTTTGGGATACAGGGGAGAGGGTTTGAAAGGGGAAACAACAATAAGATTCACAAGACATGGTTTCAAATTGGAACAATTAATACAGTATTATAGAGCGAATTCACTGAACAATGTGAGTGTTAATCAGTGTGGTTTATGTGATTTGGCTTACTGGAAAGATCAAAACAATCAGCAGCTCTTGGGCTACCCATGCGAGGAGCTTCTTGGCCAACTTCGTTGCAGAAGTTCCAAGCTTCAAAGGCAACCCTGAGTCCATCTCGCCGCATTCCCGGATCTCCGACCGCAGAGACATGATTTTCCGCCGTCGCAGTACGGAAGATAGTGAGCACAAGCAAACCCACCAACACAAACGCCGCATGCGGATGCTTCTCCATCTTCTAGGTGCCCTGCCTCACAAACAGAGCACACTGGAAGATCTGATCTGCACAGACGCCACCCACTGCAAATAGAAGGAGAGTGACAGGAAAGAATTGCAAGAAAAGAATCTTGCAACTCTTTCTCTAGGAGGATGAGATGAGGAAAAAGTTAGCTCATGGTCTGCAAGAAATTAGAAGGATAGAAAGAGGAAAAATTGAAAATGAGATGCTAGAGGAAAGTGCGAGCACAGCAGAAAAGAATGCGAGAGAATAGAAAGGACCAATATCTGGAAGATGGATGGTTTAATTAAGGCGCTCTGGGTTTGATCAAATATTTGACAGAGAGTGAATCATGAACCTACAATCACACTCACGGGTTAGAGTATCAATGTATCTTGCCTCTGCTAGATCATTATTCGTTGTTTTTGTTTAGGTAATGACATTCTTACACGCACTGATCAGCTGAGCATGTGTGTGGGGCTACTGATCCATTTTTATTAATAAGAATAAAAGTGGAGAAAGAGCATTTCTTTTTTAAAATTTTAAAAAAATATAATTTTAATATAACTTTAACTTTATATACTTTTCTCACATTTTATTATTAATTTTTATATTTTTTAAATATTTTTATTTTTTATTTTTATTTTTATTATTTTAAATCCTTTTAAAATTTTTATACTTTATTTATAAAAAATTTAAAATAGTAAAAAATAAAAATATAAAAATAAATAATAAAATATAAGTAAAATATAAAAATTTAAAATTATATCTCTTTTTAAAATTTTAATAATTGAACTTCTTAAATGATTCTCTGTATGATATAATAAAAGATACTTTTTGAATGTATTAAAATTAAAAAGGAAATGTTTTATCATTCATAATTTTTATTATATAAATATAATATGTTAAAAATGTTTAAAATATATATGCAACAAAAATTTTAAATAACATAAAATTTAATATATTAAATAATAAAAAATATAAATTTTAATTTATTAAATGAAAAATTATATAAATAATTTAATATATATTAATATTAAAAATTAGTATAATCATTTGAGATAGGATGGTAAAATAAAATGTTAGTTACATATTTAATTCCATTAAATGCCCAACAACCGCAAAAACCAATGAAAATAAGTAGTTACATATTTAACTCCATAAATTTGAGTTGTTGTGCTTTAAAAATTGACAACTAATTTTATGAATATTCTTTTCAATTTTTATTATTTCTTTCAGATCACAATATAAAAATTAAAAATTTTACTTGATTTAAAATATAAGAAATTAAATAATTTTTATATTTATTTTTTCAACTATATTCCTACTTTATTTATTATTTTTTTAAAAATTATATATTAAAATTTTAATTATTATTTTTAAGGTTCGTATATAGAATATTTAATGAAAAGTAAATGAAAAGATGTAAAAATTTTTAAAAGTATAAAATTTCAACTAACATTATTTGTAAAACTATGAATTAGTTAATTATGATTTATATCATAGTCCAGGCAAAGTATAAGACATTTTTAATTACCTTGCTGAAATAATTAAGAGATAGTTAAGTCATTAACCTTATCTAAAAATAAAATAAATTTTTAATTCTATCCCTATCTAAATGAAAAAAATTTTAAATTTACATTACATTCTCTCTTATAGTAAATGAATTTAAATAAAGATAATATTAACAAAAAATAATTAATACTATATCAAATGCCTTGTATTAAAGACTAAATAACATTTCTAAAATGTACCCTATAATAAAGACTGGAGGAAGTACTAGCAAACTATATTCAAATAGTAACAATTATTGTTTAGATATTAATAACAATTCATTTAAAATTAATAACAACTAATGCAAATGCATAAAAACTAAATTTATTACACACACAAACACGTATTAACAAGTTATTATTTGAATATTAACAACAGCTCATGAAAATGCTTACAAATTAAATTTATATAACACATGCACATATATGTTATTTTATTTAATATAATATTAATAATATGTTAATATTCGAGGAATAAGTTATAAAAAATCAAATAAGTTGATCTTTAGAAATTGACTACTTGTTTTTTGAATATTGACAAATCATATTTGCATAGAGTTATTATTTGGGTATTTACAACATAACACATTCAAAATTAACAACTCATGAACGTGCCTCAAATCAAAACTTATAATATACATATTATTTTGCATCATATATTTTAATGGTTTAGTTGGTTTAATAATCTTTTATGTTTTTCTAGGGAACCAAGGGATCATGTCACATCTCAATATTAAAGATATGACTGGTACAAAATATAAGATATACTCACATTTTATAGGCATTAATTAACTAAATATAAAAATAAAATATCGATAAATAATCTTTACTAGTCAAAAAGTCTTATATATATATATATATATATATGTATATTTATAAAGTTGGTGAAACTTTAAACATTCTGTAGAAATGTTAACAAAATTTTTTTTATAATTAGGATCTCTTAAAATTATTTCAATAATAAAACTTGTCAACCAAACTAAAAAGGAGCTTAGCTCCACATTAATATATTTCACAATAATAAAATAAGACTGGAATCTAACTATAAAATAAGTGAAGCGCTAAATTTATAATTTTAATATAATATATAATTACATCCACATGAAGATTGCCCCCGTTATTCAAAAAGTAATGCTATCCCTCAATAATCAACAAAAGATACATGATTAACTACAATATTTGAGATTAAAAATTTTTTTAACCGAAAGTAATAATTCACTTTATTATAACCGAGCGCGCCACGTTATTTGTGATATATTCAATAAAAACATAATATTTAAATTATGTTAAATATAAATTAATTTTAACATTAATGATAATAAATAAAAATAAAAAATTAAATACACATTTTATTATAGAATATCAATTAAAATAATATTATACAAAGTTTTATTTAAACAATTTAAAATGTTTTAATTAAATAGATCTTAAATAATGTAATGCACTGCATCTACTTGAGAATTTCATTCGAGTCCGGTAACGTTGCAGTGGGATAATAACCCCCGCCCATGGACATAGAAGGAAGCAATTTTTGTAGAGCCCGTAACAAGGTGAAACATGCCACGTTGTCAGCTCTATGAAGTGGCTACAGCTTATAGATGAGCTTTATTATGAGTGAAAAGACAAGACGCGTTAAAAAAGGCTCACAACAACCCAGAGTCAAATATTTGTCTACCCAGTTGAACCTTCTTTAGTTGTGATGCGATACGATCCGTGTCTGAGGCGTCGGCGGCTTCGTCTTCCTAATCCCTCTTATTATTAAAAAAAAAAAAAAGGAGTCAAATATGTGTCGGCCATTCTTCGGGAAAGTGTCATGTAAAGATTTCTGTATGGAGAGTTTTTTATATAAAGAAATCTCAAAATGTAAAATTTCACATTCCTGTCTTAATACCTACTTTCATCATTTAAAAATATAAAATATTTTTAAAAAAATTAAATATAAAAAAAATATAAAGTATTATTAATCTTTTAAAATATTATTATTGCTTTTTTTAAAAAATATTTTTATTGATAGTAACTTTATATTTATTATAGGTGTTTAATAGGTGTAAATATGAAAAGATGAAGTTAGTTTAAAAGTAGAAAATTATTTTATTGGGGGATAAAATTTAATTAAAAGTAACTTAATTTTTTTAAAGGAGGAGTATATAAAAACAAAATTTTATAAAAAATAAATTTTCATAAATTTTAATAATTTAATAAGTTATTATTAATTATGTGTGCTTACTTATTAAAATTCAAATGAATACTTCTTTATACAAGCCTAATACTTGTACAATTAAACATATATTATCAGTTATAATCACTTATTAATTTTTAATTGGTTGTTTGTTAATTATGCAAGGTTAATTGTCAAAATCTAAATGGATGTTTATTTATGTAAATCAATACTTATACAATTAAACATGCTATTAGTTTGTGTAACTTATTCATTTCCAAATAAGTTGCTGTTAATTACATATGATTATTTGTTAAAACTCAAATAAGTACTTGTTAATATATCCATATAATTTTTAGAGGTAATTAGATCTTGTCTCACATAATCTTATTTTCATATATTTGTTCCGTTAAAAAATGTAAGGAGTTGAATGTTTTAAAATATAAGGTATTTTTAATATTTTAATGTGTAATTAATTTTTTTTTCAAAAGTATTGATAATAAATAAATTATTTTATATATATTTTTAAAAAATATCTTATTAAATATGAGTAAATATAACGGATACTTGTTAGTAAATGATTAACACGTACAAGTATCTATTTAATTTTGACAATAACCTATTCGTGATTGACAATAAAACATTAATACATTTAAAAAATAAAATGAGTGAAGTTTTAAAATCTCTAATTTATAATTGTCTACGTCAGATTAACAAGTGACATTTGTAAGATAACAATAATTCATTTGAAATTAATAAGAATCTGTTTTGATTTTAACAAGTTAGAAAAAAATGATAGGAAGAGTTTAGTCATTTGCTGACAAGTATTCATTTGATTTTGACAACAACTTATTGGTGATTGACAGCAATATAGTGGGACGTTTAACAAGTAAAATGAGTGAAATTTTGAAGCCCCTAATTTATAATTATTCATATCAAATTAACAAGTAAAAAGTTTCGTTCAAAAATTAACAATATACATTGGGTTATTACATAAAAGTAATTTTATGCTTGATTTACTACTTATAATTTTTTTTTTGCCACATATATATTGAAGGGTTTGGTGGCCGAGGGTCATGGGATTAAACTTACCATTGGCCACCTAAAAACCTCAATTTTAAAATTAAATGTTGTTGGAGTCAGAACTCTAGTGACCCTACTGGTAGTAGGGGTTTCGACGACATCGCCGCCAGCGGTGATTCAATAGCTGGCTCCGACATCGAAGGATTTTTTTTTTATTTTTTTAAATTGAGAGGCATTTCGATCATTTCGCATGTGAAATTCAAATGTCAGAAGGACTAGAGAATTATAGAGATAAAAGCAAATTATTTAGTCCTTCTCTGATGTAAATTTCATACGATAGTCTTTGAATGTTCTTTTTCCTTAATTATACCTTGTGATGCTAGCATGAAAATGCATACAGCTATACATGACTAAACTGATAATCTCAGCCGTAAATATTTTTGGGAGCTTATCACATAAGACCCTCATAGGAGACATTACAGCATAACGGGCCCAAAACTTTTTCAAAGCTCATGAAACGCCCAAGGTTCCTAATTCAGTTAATTGTAATTAAGCTTTAGGAATCTATTATTTAAATGCCCTGATTTTTATATATTAAAAAAAAAAGAAAACCACTGCTGGAGCTTTGTCTCCCGCAACTAGACTAAAAAGAAGCTAAAATGTTTA